ATATTCGTGTTTCGGTCTTTGATTGTACATTATAAAAACCGTTATTTTCACTCGTTTGAATTAAATTGTTAAACAGCTGTCATTTCGGGGACTCCCCCTCTGGTATCTTTCGTCCCTCTTTTATAGCTGACTATGCGGGGGCTTTTCTCATTATTGAGGGCATAATGATGACCTATAGTTGTTTATTTCTGTGTCATTTAGTCTCTTGGCAATCATAATACATATTCTTTTATATATATAGCGATGTCGTTATTACGACATAGCTATGTCGTAATTACGACATAGTGATGTCGTAATTACTACTTGTTATGTCGAAATTACGACATAGCGATGTCGTTATAACGACATGTTATGTCGAAATTACGACAAAGCGATGTCGTAATAACGACAGGTTATGTCGAAATTACGACATAGCGATGTCGTTATAACGACATGTTATGTCGAAATTACGACATAGTGATGTCGTTATTACGACATGTTATGTCGTAATTACGACATAAAATTTTTTTTTTGAATGGCCCTTATCGGCTTCCGTATTTTAACTTGTTTAGCTTATAAATATTTTAATGTAATAGTTTAATAACTGAAATCTACAATCAAAATATATCATTAAATTACGGAAGCCGATAAGGGTCATTCGAAAAAAATAATTTATGTCGTAATTACGACATAGCATGTCGTAATAACGACATAACTATGTCGTAATTTCGACATAGCATGGTGTAATAACGACATCACTGTCTCGTAATAACGACATCCTTATGTCGTTATAACGACATCGCTATATATATAAACAAAGAGTATGTATTATGATTGCCAAGAGACTAAATTACACAGAAATTAACAACTATAGGTCATCATAATGCCTTCAATAATGAACAAAGCCCCCTCATAGTCAGCTATAAAAGGCCCCGAAATGACAAATGTTAAACAATTTAATTCAAACGAGAAATCTAACGGCTTTATTAATGTTTGACCGGCAACCAACAGCATGGACACTGTTACTAAATAAAAGCAACAGTAGTATACCGGTGTTCAAAGGTCATAAATCGATTAAGAGAAAAAAATCCGGGTTACAAACTAAAACCGAGGGAAACATATCAACTGTAAGAGGAAAATAAACGAACAGGAACACTAAAGTGAACAAACATAAACCCTTAACATACATAGAACGAACTATTTGATAACAACTGTCATATTCCTGAATTGGTACAGGACATTTTAAGAACAAATGGTGGGTTGAACTTGGTTTAATGGCTAGCCAAACCTCCCGCTTTATGACAATGTTAAAAATGTCGCTGAAATGATAACACTACGTGACAGAAATACAGATCAAACACACGCAATAAGATTCATCACAGAGAAACGCACAAACAAATAATATACTACAGAGTAGTAATAGTCGCAAAACATGTAAACTGCAGAACAACAACGAACATATTTCATCAACGACAAACACCACAGGATATAAGAAACAGTTACGCGCTTACGTAAACCACATGCAATCTCGAACTTTATGCAATTATTTCCACAATACTATACAAATAGACCACATAGCGAAATAACAGATTTTTGCCTCGCCTGCGATGAACGTCAAAAATAACAAAACAAAGGAATTGATTTTTCGGCGACGGCGGCTAAACTTTAATCAAAATTTTGTGATTTTTGTAATCTTTAATAAAAGTTTAACGGTAATTACAGACGACAAGCGATTGCAATAGCACACATAGTCCTTCGGGTACTAAACACATCTTCTTGATGTGATCTACATACATGCCAAATATAAATAGAGGCTCCAAGGAGCCTGAATCGTTCACCATTTCAATGGGTCCCATTAGACTTGATCATGAAATAAAGTTCTATTATTTGCAGACATATGGAGTAACTTACTTTAATATTAATTAAGCTTGATTAAATTCAGTGGTTATCATTCTCAAAAATGAATATGTTTACGATAGGGTTTTGATACAAACTTTGCCCTCACTGGTGGCCATTTTTAACTTCGGATCAGCTCAAAACGTAAAAACTCTTTTTAAGGACCTGGATACTAGGTATACATTGTATATTTATACTAAGTTTAAAATCAGTCATTTCAGCGATCTTGAGAAGAAGATTTTGAACATTGATTTTTTTTAAAGTCCCTTGTCGGTCATGTGTTTTAACCAATGGGTAACTAAGAAGCAACACTTGAATAGGACCTTATAGTGCACACGTATATCAAGTTTGATTCAATTCTGATAAGTGGTTCTTAAAATAAAGATGCAAATGTTGTTTCCCATAGTGTGTCGATGCTCACAAAGTAGCAATTCTAAGGTTGTCGTTATAGATGGTATAGCGATGTCGTAATTACGATATAGATGTCGTTATTTCCACATAATATGTCGTTATTACGACCTAGCGATGTCGTTATTTCCACATAATATGTCGTTATTACGACATAGCGATGTCGTTATTTCCACATAATATGTCGTTATTGCGACATAGCGATGTCGTTATTACGACATACCGTAATTACGACATAAATTATTTTTTTTGAATGACCCTTATCGGCTTCCGTATTAAATGGATGCTAACTGGTTAAACATTTTATCAATAAAGAACTAAATACCTTTTTTTTCTTTTTTAAAGTCTTTTAACAAACTTCTTTTCTTTTTGTTTCAGAACTCCAGATGAATTATGTACACCATAACGGTCGTGGAGTTATTTTTGAATATTTCTTATATTAATATTTAATGCATTAAAGGGATTCCTTAAACAACCTGCGAATTTATATTGGTCTCCAGCCTACATCGTAATTTGAAATTTGAAACATAAGGTTGTCAATATGAAATTAGTTGATTAGATTTCACTAAAAACTTAATTGTTGAAAAGGAATCACAATGTGTATCTCTAGATCTTTCTGCACTGCCGCACTTATGAATTTTCCAGGACCTCATCCTCTCTTGTATGGCTGCATGAGATATTTTCTTGATTGGTTGTTAATTTCTGCGGGGTTGGGGACTCCTTCAAACTTTAAATAATGGTATGCAGATCATAAAATAGTATCAATATCATATAGCTATATTACCAATCTAATTAAAATATAGATCTCGGATTTCGTTATACAACGTTATACCTCGTATGTAGTATAACGTAGTATAACGTAGTATAACGTAGTATAACGAAATCAGAGATCTATATTTTAATTAGATTGCTATATTACATTATTCATATGCTTCATAAGAGACGATATCGGATGTGAATGTAAAACTAAAATTTCAATGTTTGAGTTCTGTAAGGAAAATTCTGCTATAGAAACACTAACAGTCAATCATGTGCATGTACCCTTCAGGGCAAAAAATAGGTTACAAAAGAGAGGCGAAAGATACCAAAGGGACATTCAAACTCATAAGTCGAAAGTAAACTGACAACGCCATGGCTAAAAAGAAAATGACCAACAGACAAACAATAGTACACAAAACACAACATAGAAAACTAAAGACTGGGCAACACGAACCCCACCAAAAACTTGTGGAATCTCAGGTGCTCCGGAAGGGTAAGCAGATTCTGTTCCACATGTGGCACCGTCCTGTTACTCATGTTAGTACAAACCCGGTAATAAGTCTAATTCGGTAGGTCACATTCGGAGAAAAATGAGACGGGATTGTAGTTACGACATTTGGAACATATCCGTTATCATTTGTGAAACGGATATCCAAAACTGTCTACCAACTCGTGATGGCGTCCGTAAAATTTACGGAGGGATGATTTCAACTTCACCACTTGAACTCTTGGTTTAATAGCTTCCTTGTGACAGCAACCCTCTATCAAGGAAATCATGATAGAAAATATCGTATCAACTGGGAGATATATACTCCGTATTCAGGCGCTGCTGGAATGTTGCTACATAGAAATGGAAAATTCAAAATTGGAAAGCTAAAATCATCTCTTTTGTCGTAAATTTTTGTTTTCAACCGACCCTCATTGCCAATTTCTAGATGTAAGTCAAGATATGAGGCAGACTAAACTGTATCTGTTGTATCCTTATATCAAGTTCGATGGGATAGATGCGTTCAACATAGTCACCAAATTTTGAATTATTTAGTGAGAGAACATCATCTATATAGCGGAAAATAAAGTTAAAGGATACTGCTAACTTCTTTTCTTTCTTCCTAAGAAGCTTCTGTATGAAGTTAGCCTCATGTGAATAAAGGAACAAGTCGGCAAGAAGAGGGTCACAGTTGGTTCCCATGGGAATGCCGATGGTTTGTGGAAAAACACGTCTTCCAAATGTAACAAGCATCTTGATAATGTCAGTTTTTACAATTGCCTTTCTTAGAAAACGCTCCAAAGACTTAAATCATGGGCAGTAACTGAGTGTTCTCTAACAAATGTTCCAACGACTAAAAATATAAATCTTTAAACATGGTACCAAGCTTTAAAGATCAAAGGATTTTCCCAGGCTTTTTATCATTTTCGTGAATTTCAAGGCCATTTCAAGACATAGAATGATTGAAATAAAATTACCGGCTTTTCTAGTTCTCAAAGAAGGGTAGGAACCCTTTAAAAAAGAACTGCAAGACTTGTAAGTATAAAGATCCATTAACTTGTGAATTTTGCTGAAATTAGTTTTTAAATAATTTGACACACTGTGGCATAGTTAAGACAATTGAATTTGGCATATTTGATATAATTGATTTTCCTGATAAAAGAACAACGTTTTAATTCCGGAAGTTCCTTACCTTTAGAATAAGTCAAAAGTATTAAACGTGTGTTTGATCTTTTGTTTTAAAGAGCATATGTCTGCAACTCCAGTGAATGTCTTGAACCATTTTAAGATTTATTCCACGTTATCATATTAAGCGAAACATGGAATACAGTGACATAGCATATATACAAAAACAAGCTGTGTTATTCTCTAAGCCAATGTGAAACTCTCCTCAATATTGATTTTCTTTAAATCTGACAATGCTAATTTTCATTTATGTAATGCCTTTTTTGTTCAAGTCTATGAGTAAATATCCTCGCATTATAATTTTATTATGAATTATAAATGATAAATTTACAATAATTTAAAAACCGTTTCCAGTAACAAAACAAGTATCACAGAGTATTCAAAATCACAGATAACAGTTAACAAACTCTCATGGATATATCTAAGGGTTCAGTAAAGAATAAAGTTTTGTAATTATCATTTACTGATACAATAAGATGTTCGGCATCTGTATACACTTACAAAGTATACCGTCAGTACAGTCAAGCTTTATATGGAAATAAACATTAACATACTCAAGTAATAACAGCATGTCACGCAGTATTAATATGTGTAAATGTGAAGCGAACAATGTAAGTATCGAAAAAAATATTTTCTCGAACTTCGTTATGATATATCTGGTATAAATGGCAAAACGAACAACGTTTATATAGTTAGTCAGCCAAATACCACAATATGGAGGGAGTGTAATAAATGTAGTAAAGTCTAAATGGCAATACAGATGCTTTACTTTATCTGGTATCATGCATCAATTATGCAGACACAAATGTCGGGCTTGGTATTGCGTTTTCTAGATCTGCAACCTGTCCGACGTTTGCTGTACTACAATCATAGAACACGTTGTGGTTCACTATGTTTTTGTCGTTTTGTAGTTCACTTTCCCCAGTGAGATTTGTTACATTCTCCTTCTTATCATTTTCTTCGTCGTCACATTGATCGTTGCTTTTGTCTCCAGCTTCATATCCTCCTGAATTCACGTTTTTCTGCGTCGATAGAGCATCAAGACAAATGTAGGACAATTTATGAGGATCAAATACTGGGTATACGTTGGGTGGCACACGTTTCTGTCCATAACAAGCTTTTGTACTACCTAAAATGAAACAAATAAAGGTTCATTTGTGTCATTTTTGTTTTCAAACAAATAAATATGGCAAATTTCTAAGGGAGCTCCCATTTGATTTTTATGGGGGGGGGGGGGGGGGGGGGGGGGGGGGGCTAGGATGAAATTTGAAAAAAATAGGCAGGACAGGAGTTTTGAGTAAAAAAAAAGGCAGGATGAGATTATTTGCAAAAAAAAAAGGCAGGATGACAATTTAGTTAAATAAAAAAAGTCAGGATAAACTTAAAAAAAAGGCAGGACCGAATAGAGTGAAAAATAAAAAGGCAGGACCGAATAGAGGGAAAAATAAAAAGACAGGACAAAATTTTTCATCCTAGCCCCCCAATAAAAATCAAATGGTAGCTCCCTAAAGTCTTTCATTCATTTCTAAAATTCAGTGTGACAGTTTAATAAATATACGTACTTCAAGGTTATGGTTTTGTAACCCAATTTATAAAATCATTAAAAAAACTCAAACATACAACTTTGATAGATTTTGGCAAATTTCTAGTATTTGTCTTTTAAAATAACTAATACAAATAAGATAGAATATAAAAACAAAGGATATCGGGTATCCATCCATGACACAAAATCAGTACATGCACAACAAAAACACATTAAAAGCAAAGGAACAACGGGTTTGTTGCTGTTCTTCATCTCAAAGTCACAGTGAGGACTTCAACACGGAGCAAAACAACTCTAACCTCACTGCAAATTTAAGACCATTTTAGGCATTTTTACCCAAAGCAAAATTCAGATGAGACAGAAATAAATTCATGTTGGTTAAGGATACCCATCCATGCATTTTTTTTATGACAAAAAACATGAAAATTTGCCATATTGTATCAAAACTGTTTTTAACAACAATGAATATAGGCTTAGGTATATCACTAAATAACATTTTGTTCCGTTGATAAGACACTGATATTCGTATTTTTTTCCTTAAATCTTTAATATGTTGTAGAGTATGATTTAACCACTTCGGGAATTCAACCGTCAGTGAAATGCATTCAGGGGAAATTGACCTTACCTTGTATCTAGTGTTTTCCCTTTTGTTTTTAATAATTCGTTTCGATATAAAGCATCCCCCTGATTGCACGCGTGTTCAATTTTCTCACAACTTGTTTAACCTTTGAGACATTTATGCTGCATATTGAAATGTGTGTCCACCGACCGTACGAGAGCCTCATGGGTAGTCAGGGTCGTTAAACACCCCCTGGTAGTAGTGTCCAAAAACGTTTGTCCTGAACAATTGGTGAGCAATTGGAAGTGATTTAAATGTATAGTTTCCACCAGTTCTGAACAAGTAACAGGACAATTTATCAACATCCCAACTAGCAACAAGAATTTTATTCATTTTACACGCTTGTTTGGTTTGGTAAGAAGTGTGGCCTCTGAAAAGTACAAGATGCTACTAAACGAAGTTTTTCGGTTAACGGTTCTATGTGCTGTTAAACCGTTAATGATCAACATAAGGTAAGGGCTATTCCATTAAAATGTATGTGGGAGGGTAGGAAGGGACTTTCAAAATATCCCTACAACCAAGAACCATGTTTTAGATAATTTTACATAATGGTAATAGATACATACTGAAAAAGACCCATGACCCACATTAAATAATTAAACGTCCCTTCCTACCCTCCCACATGCATTTTAATGGAATAGCCCTAATATGTTATATAGTCATTTTGTCAAAACATACCAATATTGAAGACCTGTCTACTGACAATGTCGGAGTCTACAGATTTATTTGGCAGATAACTAGCCATGTCACATGATAAAACATCAGCTACATTTTGGAGACGTTCAACTTCTTCAGCTTTGCCATTATCTGTTTCAGATGCTTCTTCGGGCTATAAATCAAAACATAATCGTACAAATTAATATTGTTACCTTTAAGTCTTAAGTAATACAAATTATACCATCTCAATCTCCACAGCTAAGTTATTTCTATGTCGTTTAAGGAGTATAGTTATATGATAGCAAACATGATTATAACTACTCTGTTTCCATTGCTAACAAAGATGATTATAACTACACTGTTCCCATTACTAACTCAGTTAGAGTTGTACACAAAAATAAAATAAACCATAAATATGAAATGTGAAAGAATCGTTTGCAAGAATCTTGAACAAAATTGTACTAGTTTCAAACCACGAGTACTGTATTTTCAGGAATATTTTATTTTAATCGTAACAATAGGTTAGTTTTCAAAAGGGCTACAATAAAATGTTGAGATTGATGAATAAAAAACGACAGAAATATCAAATTTCTGAAAAACTATATACATATTATCTTACATAAGGTTTAGCATACAAGACGTCTCTGATAATGCTGTTCAGTTCAGCGTTCTTTAGTTGTAATCTCTGGATGTATCCCTGCTGTTGTATGATCAGTAACTTTAACTCTGAAATCTATCAATAGAGAACAATTAGTTATAAAATTGAATGTAATTTTAAACATGGATTCAATGGATTCACGCTGTTTTATGAAAAATAAAAAGATTAAACCGTTACATTTTAATAACTGTTAATGTGGAAACCAAGATAGAATTTATATTAGTATCATATCGAGAGAAAAAAACTAGTGACACGGCTTGTTATTCAGACTTCTTGATACCTGATTAAAGCTTGCGTTGTCTTTCAAATTAAGTCCGGTAATATAATATCTTCCTCTTATAGCTGCCACGCGTGTACCTTACCTTGGCCTGCCTAGCAAAGTCTAGTGACATCGCTTGTTCTTCTTGACACCGTCTCTTCATCAGGACACTATTAACGACGTCTGCTGTTTTGTGTTTGTCATTGTGTCTTCTAGGAGTATCTGGTATGTCTATAAAGGGAAATGTAGGGTGAATGAGCAAATCAATGTGACTTTTACATACCAGATGATCTTAACCAGAACAAATATGTTGAGGTCAGCATACAATAAAAACATTAACCAAACAGTCAGCGTGGTAAAAATAACGTTGACGTTCTGGATAAAACTTGAAGACAGTAGGTCACAATATCATTTTTTTCTCTTTTTGCTGACAATGTATGTGGGAGCCACCACGGGAATGTGGTAAAAATATTGACTCATATAAATAAAGAAATGTTGGTCTTTTATTTTTTAAACATTTGAAATCTGTTTTATTTGAACTTCTGTTTTTCGAATTCTTTTTCTACTTGTGAGAATGCACCGTGCGAGATTATTATATCAAAGCAAGCTTCCATACACACAAATTGTATATTAAGAACAATTTGTGTAAAGTGCAAAACTGAAAAATCGTGAGAAACTTTTTTTTCTTTTCTACCTGGTAGATATAATTGACAAAATATATTATCCTCTACTTCCGCTTTCCATCTTACTTACCATTATATATGTGCAATCTTTGTTACTTACCATTATATATGTTCAATCTTTGTTACTTACCATTATATATGTTCAATCTTTGTTACTTACCGTTTTATATGTGCAATCTTTGTTACTTACCATTATATATGTTCAATCTTTGTTACTTACCATTATATATATGCAATCTTTGTTACTTACCATTATATATGTGCAATCTTTGTTACTTATCATTATATATGTTCAATCTTTGTTACTTACCATTATATATGTGCAATCTTTGTTACTTACCATTATATATGTGCAATCTTTGTTACTTACCATTATATATGTGCAGTCTTTGTTACTTACCATTATATATGTGCAATCTTTGTTACTTACCATTATATACTTCAATCTTTGTTACTTACCATTATATATGTGAAATCTTTGTTACTTACCGTTTTATATGTGCAATCTTTGTTACTTACCACTATATATGTGCAATCTTTGTTACCTACCATTATATATGTGCAATCTTTGTTACTTACCATTATATATGTGCAATCTTTGTAATATGTTGGTAATTTGTTGTCCTTGTCGTACTATTTCTGATTGATACTGTTCACGTGTTTCAACCCAGTCGGTCTCCCTTTCCTCCAAGTACGCCTATCATAAATAAATATTATGCTTACAAGAAAACAAATTATAACCTCAAATTTATGGTAATTCCATGTTCATTGACGTTTGATGAATGAAACCCATTTTCAATATATATTTAAAGACTTTTGAAATTCATTAAAGTAACATTCTTAATTTCTTTACTATTTTAAATCATTTTCACCCTTTTGTACGTATTGTTCCTCTTATCTTTACGATTAAACAAAGTATAAAACACTATTGATATGTCATACTTAGTCTAGTAAAACCATTTTTTTTAAATCATTATTGACTTGTGTGGTCATTTCTGGTCGTATTTAATGAAGTTACGGTAACTTACCAATAGAAGCAAAATTGTCACAGGTTTATTTGGTTATAATTTTGTTACTGCAACGTTAGTATTTTAATTTTCTCGTGAAATAAATACAAGTAGTATTTTTGTCCGGAAATTTGCTACATATTCCATTCAAATGAAATTGTCACATCATGTGAAACAAAAACAACAGAAGATAAAATTGTGACCAAATTAAAGAAAAACTGCAGACAATGCTGCATAGATCTTTCAACACCAGGTTTGATAAAATCAAACCATAAAAAACTTCAATTTTTTTTTAAACATGTGTTTTGTATGAAATATATAGCAACTAATTGCAGTTGATGAATATATGTCCATGCACTTTTTGGGTGTACCTTCATTTTTTGATGATCTGCATAAATTTTCTGGTAAGTCTTTTGCACCTCTGCTCCCCATTGATCCACCCTTTGTGCATGTCTGACAGATAGAGCACCAAGATGTACAATTTCTGTAAAAAAAAATAAGAGCAATAAAGTAAAATAAATAAATAAAAATAAAACCTTTATGAATTGGACAAGAATTCAAACTTGTTGATCAGCTGAAATAAGCAGGAACAGTATACAGTCTCTCGAGCTCACTACTATCAGACTGCTATTCACGATTGACTCGTTAAAAAGTTTATTTTTATTGTTTCTTAGTTTTATCATTGATGCAACGTTAGAAATTGAACGCATGCATTAAGGAAATTTAAATAATGTTGAATATAATGATACTGAGTCCCCCGATATTATTTCATGCTTCGTGATGTGGCAATATCGGGGATAACATTTATTTTATTAGAGAGTTCAGCTTGCAAAAAAAATTAACAACTACGACCATTCCTAGCAGCTTCATAGCCTCAAGGACGTATATTAGTTATACGTCCTTGATAGCCTTTAGAAGTCTCCCAATAAAAGAGAAAATAATTTGGTTAATGTCCTCTGAAGACACATTAGTCATTAACAGATTGATTATTTCAATATTTGAAACTGGCTTTCCTGCTTGAAATAATATTTTAATATTATAGAAAATATTTTTGTATTTATGCCCTAAATGGACACAGGATTCTTTTAAGGGAGAATAATTGTATACCGCCATCATGGATTGTAAAATACTAAGCAGCACAAAATTGGTCTAGTTCTTTGCTTATATCTGCAAAGTTTGAGACAGAACGGCAATTTATGTGTAAGACTATTTATTCAAATAAAGAAAAATTAGTAATTTATAGTTACATAGAGACTGTTTTTACACATACCAATTATTTGTTTTTGTTCGATTCAAATTTTCAACTTAGCCATATAAGAGGAGATCACTGTTCCCGTAAAACAAATATTTAGGAATGAAGAGAATTTTTTGACTAAAGTTTTTTTACTTGAAGCATGAAAACAAGTTCGGTGACACCAATTTTTCTATCTATTTCCTAAAAGCATATTACAAAACCTATCTTGTCATATTTTATATATGCAGATGTATTCATCGGACAGCTGTTCTTATTACTGTCATTGATAACATGTTTTTGCTTTTGAAATATTTTCATTGTATGCAAGTCTAATTTGAAAATTTGTGAAGTGTACACTGCACTTAACAAACGTTTCTGTGATATCATTAGCTGCACAATATAATGAACAAAGTCAAGTTAACACTTACCACTAACTTCACCTATAAATTTTTCAAATCTGTCATGTAAAACTTGTAATATTTCAGTAACCATTAAAGCTTTTTCTTGCATTTTCTGGGGTTCTTTTTCAGCAGTGAGGTTGGTGAATTTTATATCTTTGTCGCAAACTTCTGCAATTCGATTATTTTCGATTTCTGGTGTTGGATCTTTTTCATATGATTTGCAAGGCTGTGCATCCTGTACATTTTCCGGATTTTCTACTTTTGTTTCATCAGATTTGAGATGTTTTGCGTTTCCGTTAGTAACTTGTTCTTCGTCGATTTCTTTTTCTGTTGGCATGTCAACCAAATCTAAGACATGGAGTTTGAGCATTTCAAATGATTCCTCCACAGCCATATCACAATATTCAAGAACATCAACTTTCAATTCAAATTCGCGGAAAAAGTCAAATTTGTCCTCCTCTGGTTCAATTTCTTCTTCAGATGATGACGAGGATTCAAACTCCGCGCTTTCATCAAGTGCTCGGCGTCGATCAAGGTCGCGCTTAATTTCTGGACTGCTTTTCTCGCTTTGAAAATTTGGGAAAAGTTCTTCAGGCATTTCTTTTTTCATAATTTCGTGTCTTTTTAAAATAATGCTTTCGTCACTCACTGCTTTTCTCAAGGAACTTTTATCTACATTTGAGGAATCTTCATTATCAGATATTTTTTGGCTACTACTGCAACTCACATTTGAGACATTATGTCTGTTCAGATTCAGGTTTCCGTAAGTTACCTCCGTTGCACAAACTGATATGTCCCCTACTTCTTTGTAGCATATCCCAGACACGGGTTTCCAAAATTCATCTCCCGTTTCTGGTACATCTTCATCTGAATCCATGAGAGCATGCTGTATAACATATCCTACCAATGAATCGGTCTGTTTAGATGGAATGACGTCTTCTGACGAATCTGTGTCAAGAACATCCGCCATTGTTCAAAACGCAACGTAGATGACGTCATTTTTAAATATTGATTTATATGACGTCACAGACGTTCTTTTAATAACGGGCACCTGTAGATCATAGAAGCAATTCAAAAAAGATTATTTATTTATTTTTTTTTTTAAATTCTATTGCCATATGAATCATTTTAAAAAGATTTGTGACATTAACATACAAAAAGATAACAATATAAACATTATATCAATGCAAACATACACAAAAAGACAAAAACAAACCCATAGGAAAACATATCCCATAAAACATGTATATAAAGTAAGAACTACGAAAATGTTAAATACTTCCGCAATTTGTTGTAATATACAAATACAGGTAATTCTAAATCCTAAATCGAACTCTTCCAGCTCAATTTATAAAGCAGTCGTACGACATATAAATGTCATTCAACATCGGTTTATTTTTATTTTTCGAAGTTTGCTTGATTGTTTTTGTTTTTGTTTTTTTTTTTGTATTTTTGTATGTAAATTTTTTTTTATCGTGACCCATATTAAAGTCACTGCAGAAATAAAGAAACAAATAAGAAAACATATATCTTCTTTGTGCTGAAATGTTATTAAAAAAGTGACTTTTTTGAATTGATGATAAAGGCAGCTTAAAATGGTTAGACTGAGCACTGAGATATTGCAGGTTCGTTTGATGATATTAAAAAAAAAAAAAAAAAAACAGTGCCTCAAGTCTTTGATAATTTAATAAATTCCCTTTTCTAGAATTCTCTTAAAGTGTGGACAAAAGAAGATGTGGATAAGTAAATTTACGTCAACATCGAGACACCACCTAACGACAAAAAAAGATATCTAGAATACGAAGCCAAATGTTCGTAGATGAAGACGTTTCAACAAAGTCTGAACGAAGAGCGGCTATACAGAACAAAACAATGTTCCCACTATGTATTGAATCCCTTAAACTTTACAAATATCTTGTTATATCTGCCTCCAGTAAATGCTCAATTACACTTTCCTTCCTCGTATACCGTTTTAACATTTACCAACGTTGAAGAACATGTTTTCAAATATAGGGACAATGCTTAAAATGTTAATTTATTTCCGGAGAATAAAGTCTTGGATACACAGTTTTCACTTCCTCTACTGTTTATTACGGTATTTACCCTGAATAATATAACAATTTGAAATACATGTAAGCACACAGACATCTGGAATTAAACTTTTAATTCACATGGATCTTGGAAAGATCATATAATGATGTCATTTCCAAAGCCTGTTGCGGATGTTAAAGCACAAACCTATAAAAAATCAGTGTAAAAACATTATTTGGGTTCACATTTTTTGGATTAAGGAAATGTGATATGGGATAATTGTAAATTGAATAGGTACAATATGAAGCGGGTACATCTAGATTAAAATTATATAAACTGCTTTGATTAGACTCCTAAATATTGCAAGACTTAAATAAAAAATACACTGATGTATAAAGCTTTGCAAGGTTAGTCTACTATACTTTCAAACTCTATATTTCTGTATAGGTGATGTCACATATAGTTAATAGGAATGGGAACTATATGCTCGGAAACCCATGGTTTTTCAACCGATCTTTAGTGCATACAAAGTCTAAGCGACTTATGTTTTTTTCCCATACATACATGTGCCCTGAATTGTTTAGTGACTTGGATAACTATACTAATCTTACTTATCTTTTTTCAGTTCGTAATTAAGTTTGTTATTTAAATCTCACTTTGTCAGTCTTATTTTCAGAGCTGATGGTATGCATGTATGACGATGCCGTAGCGTAGGGATGACATTGGTGAAGACTTTTACTTTTTTATGATTGTCCTTTTTCAATAAGCATGGGAGCGCAGTCTGCTACTCCGTGAGCTGAATATCATGATCATTGTGAGTCTTCAGAGTTAAAACACCCCTTTTGGCTCTTTTGAAATATGAAGATGGTAACCAGTGCCTAAACATATGTTCAATCAGCAAATGATATCAAGAAAACAATTGCGAAATAAAAAAGGTGAAGCAAAATCAATTTGAATTAAAGAAGAAACGACAAAAAAATCATTAACATTGATTGATTGATTGATTGATTGATTGTTGGTGTCCCATTTTAGCCACTTTAAACATTCTTGGATATATTGTGACGTCCAGTTTTTTTAGGGGGTGGGGTGGAGGAGAGAACCTGCGACCTATCTACATCTACATGGGTAATCCGTAAAGAGTCGGTTGACTCATCGCACGAATATGTAGACATAAAGTTGTGGTGTCATCCAAAATGTGCTCTTTTAAAATCATATGTACAGGTATTCAATATATATATATATAATAGGTGCCAGTGCCCAATAAACATTTGTGTGTTGATTTACACTGGGATATCTGTGTGCTATGAAGTGCATTGGTCTTGAATGCCTCATAGTCATCAATGTCCAATATTATTCAATAAAATAATGCATCAGTATTGTAAATAAAAAGGTTGGGAAGTTATTTGTGACAACAGGGATCTTTAGATATACCAGTTATGGTCTCATTGACACTCACCACACCTTCATCAGCACATTGTTCCTAGGCTTTATTTAAGAAGTTACATTGTAGTTAATTTATTTCAGATTAAAATACTTTCCTGGAAGAACATATTGAAACTTAGGATTTTTTCTGAACAATTGAGCCGAGCGGAGCGAGTCAAATTTTTTAAAATGTCTTGCCTGCCAAAAAAACTCACAAATTTTTTTTATTAAGGGGAAGCATTGGATTTGGGTCGCCTGACTCATTCCTTATTAAGGGGAAGCATTGGGTGTGGGTCGCCTGACTCATTCCTTATTAAGGGGAAGCATTGGGTGTGGGTCGCCTGACTCATTCTTTATTAAGGGGAAGCATTGGGTGTGGGTCGCCTGACTCATTCTTTATTAAGGAGAAGCATTGGGTGTGGGTCGCCTGACTCATTCCTTATTAAGGGGAAGCATTGGGTGTGGGTCGCCTGACGCATTCTTTATTAAGGGGAAGCATTGGGTGTGGGTCGCCTGCATCATTCTTTATTAAGGAGAAGCATTGGGTGTGGGTCGCCTGACTCAATATCTGAAGGTCATAAATTAATTATTCACGTTAAGACATATTAAAATGCCACACTTGACTCCAAGATATCACCTTGAACCATTGAAATATATGCTCAATCATGATTTTTGCGATTAATCATGTAAGGAAACAACTCTTAATATTATCAGTGCTTTTATTATATGGAAAGGGGTATAATATTAAGAAAACCTTCGCGAAAAACCTACAAAAACTGAAAGACATCAAACCATTATTCCCTTGTATTGTCATTCTTCATGCCCAACAAACAAAGTTGAAACAGAAGATGGTCATGACTCAAATGAATATAACATTTAACACTGAAATGAAATTTGAAACCAAAATTTATAACTCTATAGTTATATATATGACATCTGAATTAAGTGTTATACACTTCTGTTGAATAATCAGATACAGATTTGGAGTATTCGTCATATTAGCTATATGGTTTTGCATATTTGAAATACAGAATTACTCAAATCTTGTAATTTTTTTTTCAATGCCCCCCTCCCCCATCTGAAGTATTGATAAATTGAAACCCCCTTTTTATTCCCAAATTTTTTCAAGCCTTCCCCTTATTTTTTCCCCAACCCCCTTCAGGTTACAAATGACCAGTCCCTTAGGACTGAGACTGCCCCTCATGAGGGTGTCCAAGTAATCACATAATCACAATTTTTTTGCCAATATAATCACATAATCATCAAGTTAATTATTTTTTCAAACAAGATAATCAAATAATCAAAAATACAGTCCTAGATTATCAAATATTCAAATAATCATGAAATATTGGTCTGGTAATCAAATAATTCCTATAAAAACGGCCAAGTAATCACATAATCAAAGACAACATGTGACAAAATTTTCCGAGATTTTCCGTAGTCATTCCGTTACCAAATTGTCTTTTACTGTTGCAAATCGTACATCCTGTTATTTTTTTCTATTTGTTGTGTTGGTTTTATTTTCAGCTATTGCTGATTCAAACATTGATATGTTTTGATATTATGAAGAAATATGCCCAGATTGAGACAATCGTCCATGAAAAAATGCTATACAAGTTCCCAATCAGGTACCCCAATTTGGTCGATTGCGATATCACCGGAAAGAGTTACAAAATGTAAATATGTGATTACGCAACCGATTGTAATGTATTGTAAGGACTATTTTTAAAAGCAGTATAAACACAATTATTGTTTTGTAAGGCTTTTACCAGTTTCATTGTATGTTCAGATTTATTCATTACAAGGTAGGAAACAGGTATTCATGGTCTTTGAATTGACGGAATCACGGATTTTAAAATTGAGAATGGAAATTGGGAATATGTCAAAGAGTTGTTTATAAATGGCTTGACAGTGGCAGATTTAGGGGGCAGGGTGTCAGAACCACTTATGGAGCTACATTATGCAATCTTTTTACCTATTCCACTCCAAACGTTGCCTTTTTCAAAATCCTGGATCCGCATCTAGTAACAACAAGGCATAATATATTTATTATTTAATCATGTTAATTATTTAATTACTTTTTGGCTGACTTGTAAAGTGAACCTACAAAAACATATACTGTTGTATACACACAGGACATTACATTCATCTGTTAATATGATTCATCACATAACAACTGAGACAACTTTCAAGTCTAAATATAAATAGATGTTGTATGATTGCCAAGGAGACAACTATTCACTAGAGACCAAAGGACAAGTACGTTAACAACTATAGGTCACCAAATGGCCGTCCTCAACATATCTTAAGGTTCATCATAACAAATGGACAAATATGGCCGTATTTTCACCTCAAAAACTACTCTGTGTACAGACTTACCTGTGCATTTTGGAAAGTTTTAAGGCCTGGCATCCACTTGATATATAAAAGTTTATTTCATTTTGCATATCAGAAAGATAAAATCTTTTTTGGATTATGATGGGCATTTTTTTTCGTTCCTGCAGGAGGTGTAAAAATTAACTAAGTTGG